AGAGAGAAAGAAAGAAAGAAAGAAAGAAAGAAAGAAAGAAAGAAAGAAAGAAAGAAAGAAAGGAAGGAAGGAAGAAAGAAGGAAAGAAGGAAAAAAAGAAAGAAGAAAGGGGGATTAGGGAGAGGGAGAGAAAGAAGAAAAAAAGCTTAAAGAGGGGAAATCATGGAGGGGAAGAATTCTTTTCTTGGAATGCCTGGTGTAGGATAAAAATGGTGTTTGAAAAAGGTGCAAGGGTATATGTTCATGACATTTAGAACTATTTTTTAACTCCCTACTGGAGTTGGACAAAAGGGCAGTCCATTCCAGAGAAATAAGGAAAATGAGGCCTGAGGTGACTTCCTCAAAGTCACATACATAGTAACTGGCACAGCTTGGGTTGGAACTCAGATCCCATGAGTCCAAGTCTGAAATCAAATTAACTCCCTCATCTTTACAGATGTGGAAACAGACGCTGAGAATTTAAGTAACTTGCCCAATGTTGCACAGGTAGTGAGGAGAAGAGCAGAAATTAAACTTGGGCCCCTCCCACTCAAATGTGCTGTCTTTCCAGAACCTCTCCCTGCTTCTGCCCCCTATAATGCAACCACATCTGGTGCTGAGCCTTGCCCGGCTTCCAGGATGTCTCTGCTGTAGAAAACTAGAGAAACTCTGTGAATCAGGAACTCCAACTGAGACATACCTGGAGGCTTGGATTTTGTACACACCTGGCCTTTGCCCATCCCTCCTTCCCAACAGCCTCAGTTTTTTTTCCCCTTGACAGAGAGTACACTTGATAAAACCCGTGGCTCTTAATTGACCACAAATTCAATCTCAGTCAGCATTCTGATAAAGCTCCTAAAAATGCCAGTGCCCTCTCGGGAGACTGTAGTGAAAAGCTGATGTCCAGATCAAGGGAGGTCATTGGGTCAGAGATGTTATAATAGTGAGAACAATAATAGCGGCAGCAATAATAGCATTTACATAAAGCTTTAAAATTCTCTATTTATAAAGCACTTTAAAAACTTTGTTATCTCATTTGAGCCTCAAAACAACCCTGATAGGTAGGTGCTATTATTGTCCCCATTTCACAGATGAGGCAAACAGAGGTTAAGTGACTTGCCTAGGGTCACACAGCAAGTGTCTGCAGCAGGATTTTGCCTTGGGTCTTCCTGACTCCATTGTGCGCCTCTCTGCCTAGTCTAGGACTAGATGCCTAGCCATCCTGCTTCACTTCACGCTGGTCAAACCGAGCAGGGATAAGTAAGTTAGAGCATGTTCAGAGGACAGGAGACTGTGCCTTTCAGGGGTCACTTGAAGGGACTGTTCCATTTTTGTCTCAGTCTTCCTAGTGCCTAGTCCAGTGTTGGGGCACAAAGTGCTTAATAAATGCATGTTGGCTGGTTGGTGGATGGAGTGATTCTCTTCCTTGCTCTTAGCCTCAGTTTCCTCATCTATAAAATGTGGGGGACTCAATTAGATGGCTTCTAAGGTCCCTTTTTTTGGCTTGACCCCACTATTCATTTTCTGAGGAAGCCCCGTCACCACCTACCTGGGCCTGAGTTTACCCGAGCAGAGGCGAACTGGTCCAGGTCAGAAAGAGAGCAGGTCACAGCTTCTGTGTGGGCTGATCAGTTTTAGAATTGGGCCCATGAGTGGCCATGGTGCTTCCAGCCTGAGGGAGGGAGGAAGACCCAGCCTTAAAAACAGCAGCAGCCACCAGAACAACAAAGTGGAGCCAACCAAGGGTAGAATGGCTACCTGGGCTGGGATTGGATCGTTCCTCATTGTGGGTCTGCAGGCAAACAGTCCTAGATTTGGAGCAAGAAACTGGCGATTCAGTCACATTCCAGAGGAGAGGCTGAGGCCCGGCGAGGAAGAGGTTTGCTCCAGAGCCAGGGTCTGAGCTCAGACAAGTTTTCCCTCTCTCCACGGCACCACTGGAGGACCACTCGAGAATGTTCTAGACCCATCCAGGTACAGGTTGGATGAGATGGCCTGTGAGTCCCCCTCTAGCTCAGATTCTGCCATTCTCAGACCTCCTGAAGCAGCAAACAGCATGGAAGCCGGTGCTCAGATACATCTTCCGTATTAGTTGATGAGCCATCATCAATTTCGTTCAGCCCATCAAGCATTTATGAAATGCCTACTATGTGCCAGGCACTATAGTGTCTATTGCTATGCTCTATAATCCTGTCTTTCAGGAAAGATGTCCCACTTTCCTGATGTGAGACAAGCAGGATTCAAAAGGGACCTTAGAGGCTGTTGAGGCCATTTTATAGCTGAGGAAACTGAGCCTGAGAGAGGTTTCTTGGCTTGCTCGTGGTGGCACTGCTAGCAGGTATCTGAGGTGGCATTTGGACTCCGGTCTCCCTGACTCTGAGGGGCCCAGCTGGGCCCAGCACACAGTTATTATTGGAATCTCTGACTCACTGTTCGAGTCAGCCAGTCTGAATGGCATTCCTCTTCAGGGAGAAACCTGGAGCTTCTGCTACAGGCGAAGTGACAAACGATTGTGGGCAAAGAGAGTGAGGCCACATATGGCCTGGATAAAGACAAACTGGCTTCTCCCATTCTCCCCCCACCACCCAAAAAAAGTAAAGGCTTCCAAGACTCCTGGGAGGGACCATGTGCAGGAAGCAAAATGCTGGGAGAGTGGGAACATGGAAAAAAAAAACAGTCTACATAAAAGATACAGACACACAAATCGTACATCAGTGGCCTGAGCAATGGGAGGACACATGCAAATATTCCAAAGGAGGAGGAAGAGGCCAAACTTATGTCATGGCGCCTGGACCACGTCCCTTTTTATACCCTAACCACGGACGTGATGCGGACCCTTCTGTTGTTCAGTCGTTTTCCATCGTGTCCAACTCTGTGACGCTTATTTGGGGTTTTTGGAAGGGTTTGCCATTTCCTTCTCCAGCTTATTTGACAGATGAGAAAAAATAGCCCAGGGTCACCCAGCTAGTAAGTGTCTGAGGCAAGACCTGAACTCAGGAAGACAAGTCTTCTTCACATGAGTCAGCCCTGTATCCACTGGACCACCTAGCTGCCCAGTGCAGGCCCAGATTCTGCCAACATTACACCATGCGCTTGTAGATACACGTCATGTGGGACTTGGTTTGTCTTCCTCTCTGTGACATTAGGAAATTTGCATCCCTTTCTCTCTGTGGGATGGAGGAGGGTTGAGAACTGTGACATGAAGTGAGATTAGAGATCTGAGAACTCTCCCTGCTGCCATCTGCCCCATTGGCCATCATGTTTAAAGAGCTTAGAATTTAAAGACCGAAAGGAACCTTAAAGATCATCTCATCCAACACCCTGATTTTAAAAATGAGGGAACTGATGATGGTTAGAGAGACCAGGCTGTGGTAGAGCGGTTGTTATAGTCTGAGGCCGGGAACCCGTCTGGCATTAGTTAACGCTTCTGAGGAAATCTGAGGAGGCCAAACCACTGTGTTTCCTGCCCAAAACAACTCTGTTTCCTTTTGTCATTTTGCTGTCTTTGAATCTTTTCAGTTGAACTATGAAGAACATGGAAGTGGGAGGGAGGATCTGTGGGCACAGGGCCCAGCAGGATTTCTCTGTCCATTGGTCCCTTTTTTGAGTTGGGCTTCCAAGGTTTCCACAGAGGTCAGGTGACTTGCCCAGGGTCCACAGGTAGTGAATACTGGGGATGGAATTTGAACCCCAGGTCCTCTGACTCTTGGGCAGCCAGGTGGCAAAGTGGATACAGCGTCTGGCCTGGAGTCAGGAAGACTGGTCTTCCTGAGTTCAAATCTGACCTTAGACAGTTACTAGTTGTGTGACACTGGGCAAGTCATTTAACCCTTTTTGCCTCAGTTTCCTCATCTGTCAAATGAGCTGGAGAAGGAAATGGCAAACCGCTCCAGTATCTTTGGCAAGAAAACCCCAAATAGGGTCGTGAAGAGTCAGACACACTAAACAACAACCCCCAACTCCAACAACAGGCTTCTTTCTGCTGAAGGACCATTGGGTGGAACAGAGAGTATGCTTGTTTGACCTGGTCCCAGGACAGATCTAGGAGCAGGCTCAGAGTGAGACAGATTCCCACTCTAGCACACTCAAAACTTGCTCCCACTTAGAGCTCTCCAAAGGTGGAACAGACTGCCTTGGAGAGTGATGGGTTCTCCACCATCAGATGTCTAATTAAACACTGAAAGCCCACTCCTCTTGGGAATGATTCAGAAGGGAGAAAGAGAGAGACAGAGACAGGAGAGACAGGCAGAGAAGAAGAGGAGGAGGGGCAGGAGGGGAGGAGGGGAAAGGAGGAGGAAAAGGAAGTTTCTTTTTGCTTGTGGGTGAGTTAGGAAAGGCAAAGTAACAGTTTGTGGGTTGATAGTACCAGGTGTGGAGAAAAGAAAGCCTTGGTTAACAACTGGAGAGCCATGAGCCCCAGCCACAGAGGATGAATTTACTGGCCAGAACCTACATACCGGGAAAGGATGAGGGGAAAGGAGTTTTTCTTGGTATAAAGAGTCTAGAATGTGCAAAGATTTTGAAAGTTCAGTGGTTTTCATATATTTTCCCCATTTTCCAGATAAAAGGATAAGAATAAGAATAGTTTGGAATTAACAACATTGCTTAGAACAGAGGCGTCAAAGACACCAAGGTGCATGCAGCCTGAGGCCCCAAACCGGATTAAAATGTAACTGGGAAATGTTTAACCAAATAAATACAAATATAATAAAACACTGATAATGTTAATATGTGGTTTTCTAAGTCAGCATGCATCTGCAGGGATCCTTATACCGGACAGAGTGGGTCCCATTTCTATCTGAGTTTGACACCAGTGGCTTAACATATGGTCCTTGTGAGCGGGGATTATTTCATTATTTTTTTGGCCTTTGTCTCCCTAGGGTGTAGAATAGCACGTGGCACACAGTAGGTGATTAATAAATGTTTGTTGGCTGATCAACTATTCTGACTTTCCAACTAGCCACTTTCTGATGTACATTCACTCAGTTGTTTTTGTTGTTTTCTTTTTTCCTCCTTTTCAGAAAGAAGATCTTCAGGTCTATGAAAAATACTGTCAAAATAAGCCACGGTCTGAAACACTGTGGAGACAATGTGGAGACAGCATCTTCTTTCAGGTAGAGCTCAATACAAATTCCTGAGAGCCTTAAGCCAGCAATCACCATTCTTCCTACAGTACAGAGGCTCAAGCTCTGGACTCAAAATTACAAGGGCCATCCTGAGTTGGAGTCTGGCCTCTCAATGCTTACTAGCTCTGTGACCCTGGGCAAGGTATTTCGTCTAAGTCTGTTTCCTCATCTGTAAAGTGAGTGTAGTAATATCGATGCCATATACCTCACAAGGCTGTTGTAAGACTTAAGTGAAACGAAAGAGACAGACAGACACACACCCACAGACAGAGACAGAGAAAGATGAGGGACATGGTAGATAGATAAGATAGATGATAGATAGAATAGGTAGATAAATGGAGATAGCTTTGCAAAATACTATATAAATTTTTTTTTAATATTATTTGTTTGTTTGGTCCAAACCTGTGACTTTATTGGTATAAGGAAAACCTAGTGAGGAGATTCCTTCTACCAATAGAGATCAGCATTGTCTCTGCAACTTATGTAGATTTAGTGAGTTTCCTAGAATACCAAGAGTTTAAGTGACTTCCCCAGGGTCACAGAGCCGATAGGCACCAGAAGCATTACTTGCACCAAAGTCTTCCTGTTTTTAAAATCAGCTCTCTATCCTCACACTGCCAATATTGTTGTTATTATCATCATCATCATCATCATCATTATCACTCTTTAAAGAAACCCAGATCTTTTCATCTACTCATAGGAGTTTGATCCTAGAGCAAAGTGACATATTTGATTAAAAGTATCTGATCTGTTTTTTTCAGACAACACATAAAGCAAGGATAGTAGATGATAATAATAATCTCTTGATAGTGGAGATGAAAAATAAACTTGCCCTTGGTCCACTGAGAGTCTAGTGACTTGCCCAGATCACACAACCAGTGTGTATCAAAGGCAGGACTTCTAACTCAAGTCTGACTGGCTTCAAGGCCAGTTCTCTATCCATTACTCCATGATGTTATCTCTCATCATCATCATCATCGTCATCATCATCACCACCATGTAAAGAATACCCCAGAATTTGTCATCCGCTCGGAGGAATTTGGTCGTAGGGCCAACATGACCTACTTGATTAAAAGAGTCCATTGTATTTTGGAGAAGAGATATAAAGAAGAGGTGAAAATAAATCGGACTTTGGGTTTGCAGTCATTACTTCAGCCTTCTTTTCAGTGTCTATGGAAAGAACCTTCCTTCAGCTGAGGAGGGGATGTAGCTATGGAACAAAATCAGCCAGTTTTACCTTGGGGATAGGAGGTGTCTTGAAAGCTGAGCTCAGCATGGGAAAGAACACACTCTCAACTGTGTGGTTTCCACCAGATCCTAGCACACGTGAGAAGGGTGTAAATTCCTCTCACCAGGCCTCTGCCCTCTTCAGAAGAACCTAAAGTTCTCTTGTCTGCTAGCAGACTTGCTCATAAAAGCCCTGTGTCCATAGACAAAACTCCCTACCTCCTCAGCTCTCCAGTGGAAGTAGTCATCCCACTTTTACCTTATTTCCTGTTCCCTCTCTTCTCTACACCTTCCGCTCCAAAAACTGGAGAACAAGATGTTTAAATGATAAAAACTGATCAACCCAGCAGCTCCTATAGAGTGGTCAAGGGCCTGTTCTAGTCGTGTTTGTCTGAACAGTTCTCCTCTCTTTACCTTTTTCCTTTCTTTTTTTTTGTCTAAAGGAATGTCAGCGCAAGTTGGACCACAAACTCTCCCTGGATGCTTACCTCTTAAAACCAGTCCAGAGAATCACAAAGTACCAGCTGCTTTTAAAGGTAAAGGAAACGAGGCCACTATTTTGTATTTCAGAAACATGGACGATGGATGTGGTCACCATATATCAGGGATTTTTCTAAGGCAGTCCTAATATCAAATATATGCATAAGACCATGGGATTTAGAACTAGAAGAGATGTTAGAGGTCATCTAATTAGTCCAACCCTCTCGTTTTATAGACTTCTACCCCATTGTTTCCATAAAGCATCAAAATGTCCCAGAAATGACAATATTTTGTTAAATAATAACTGAATGAATTTTAGCTCGGTGGGCATTACAATGGAAACATACAGCTCTCCCAGAAGTCTTGATGTAATTTTAAACAGCTTAAAATTGGACATAGTTTTAAGCTATTTAAAAATGCAATAAGACTGTTGGGGCACCCTGTATGCTAATACCAGGAATCCATGATCTTTTATCATGGGAAACTCATCACGTGGGAACTCTGTCCACCAACACAGATCAACCTATGACTTAGTAGATAAGTCAGAGGCTCAGAATAGTTGTGTTCCTGAGGTTACCAAGCTACTAAGTGTGAGGGTCCCGATTTGAACTCATGGTAAAGGGGCTCAGGATGCTGAATCTAGAGTCAAGAGGCCTGGGTTTTCTTTGTCACTCCCTCTCTGTGGGAAAAATGTAGGGGTAGGAGGATGCCAAATAAATCATGACTGGGCCCAGCCTGCCTGTGTATCTTTTTCTTTATAACTTTCCATGGTAAAGTAACGGCAAGGCCAGTGCTCCCTTAAGAACTGGAGGATCTTACTCTCAAGAGGGTAAGAAATTGTAGCTTATTGTGCAATGGAAACACCTGAGCTCCTCCATTCACTGGCCTGCTGCTCTGTGTTTCTGAACCCAAGGCTACCAGTGCCCACAGAGCTCACCGCCATGGAGCCACAGCCTTGCTTAGGTTCTTGGGAGAAAGAGTGAAGGGGACATTTAGTGAGTAAACAGCCCTCAGGCCTCGTAGGACTACTTCAAAATCGAGCCAGAAACGAGGACCTTTGAATGTTTATGAGGGGACAGGTAAATAGGCCATGGATGGGCCTGTGGATTGGACACTGAAATCACAAAGATAAACTTTTCTAGCTACAGTCCTCCTGATCATGGGCTTACTGGGCCAATCAGTAAGCACAGCTTTTTTGGTCTTTTAATTAGCAATTATCCTCCCCACCCTTCATTGTCGTGATTGTTGTTCAGTCAAGTCTGACTCTTCATGACCCTGTTTGGGGATTTCCGGACAAGGACACTGGAATGATTTGCCATTTCCTTTTCCAGCTCATTTTACAGATGGGGAAACTGAGGCAAACAGGGTTAGGTGACTTGCCCAGAGTCACACAGTTGGTAAGTGTCTGAGACTGGATTTGAGCTCAGAAAGATGAGTCTTCCTGACTCCATGCCCAGTGCTTCATGGGCTATGGCCCCACTTAGCTGCCCCTAGCTCTCCATAATGCAAAGTGTTTTATGTTTTGCAAGTATTTGACCAGATCTGATTTGGCACAGAGCTAGGGGAAGGAAGATTTGATTTCATGTGTATGCTTGCCTAATGGGGAAAGATATCAGTGGGAACAGCTTCCCTTCCTAGTGTCAGAGGACCTAGGTTCAAATCCCATTTCTGCTGCTTACTGCCTGGGTGACCTTGGCCTCAAATGGGCCTCCATTTCCTCATCTGTAAAATGAGAGGTTTGGACTCAGGTCGCCTCTGAGGGCCCTTATCTTTCTATGTCTATGATGGTCATAAATGAAGGAGGCCAGACCTGAAATCTGGGTGAGGGGCTTACTTTGGTTGTGTCCATCATGATAAACACAGGTGGCGGGTACAACGGAACTGGCAGTCACAAGATTTGGGTTCCAATTCTGGCTGTGCCAGTTCTTTCTTGCACAACTGTGGGAATGTCACTCAGCCTCTCCATCCCTCGCCTTCTTCAGCTGTAAAACGAGGGGAATTGGACCAGTGGCCCTCTTGAAGCCCCTCCTGGCTCTAAATCCATGACTCTAGGGTCTTATCTGCATTTAGCTATTCCCAAGACAATGAAAATAATAGGAATAAGATTCTCTCCCAAATCTCAGAAAAAAGTTTCTTGCCTTGTGTCTTTCAAGAAGGAAAAGGTTGTTTTAAAAGGTTTGCTTTCTTGATATTTTAAATACCTGGGCTGTTTGCCTTGCAGGAAGAAAAATACACATGCATTTCCCATGTCTAGGTCTTTCCTACTAATTAGAAATGCTTAATTTCCAATTAATTAATTAATTCCTATTAATTAATTTTGGAAGATAGTCTTATCTTCCCTGCCAACATCATCAAGCGATGTAGAAATCCACTCTGTGGCTCATCTAAAAGACAAATGTTGACTCACTTCTGTCCCCTTAGCTGGGGCTGGGGCTGCTTGTCGAGATCAATGTCTTGTCCAGGACCTAGAGGCCATTTTCACAATAGATTGGGAGGATGTTGAGTCTTTTGACTCCCCATGTGATTTTTTTGTTTCCGTAGGAGATGCTGAAGTGTAGCAAGAATTCAGAAGACACAGCAGAGCTGGAAGAAGCCCTGGCCACTGTCCTGGATATCATCAAATCGGTTAATGACTCCATGCATCAAATTGCAATCACTGGCTATGAGGTAGGTATGGACCTCAGGAGATGTGAGAGTTATCCTTTCATCCAGAAGGCAAGTCAGAAAGGAGGAGGATGGGTGTCAGGGATGAGAAAAAAATGAAGGCAAGAAAAGAGCAAGTAATTATTACCAAAAAAATTCTTTTTCTGGGGGTGGGGAGTAGGAACATTGTAAGACCGAGCTCCATGATTCAGAGTTGTTTGGGGCATTTTCAGGTGTTTTGCTTTCCCTCAGGGCCAGCGTTGTTTTCATCTGGATAGACCAGAAATATAGGGGTCAGAATTCATTTGGGTAGGGTGAAAGTGCAGGGGCCTTGGCTTGAAGACTTACAGGATCTCTCAGATATTTAGATGGTTTGGTGGGGTGAGGTGGGGTAGGGTGAAAAATGAGAAAATCCTGGTTCTTGCTGAAAAAAATCATTCATTCAATTATTTATTAATCAGTGGAAATTAATTTTTAAAAACAATTCTTAAAAAATTAAAAACAGATTTTTAGCTGGATTCTAATCCCACACAATTTCCGTGAACCCCAGAAGACCCAATCTGTTATTTTTCTCTCTTTTGGTAGCTAAGAGAATAGTAGAGCCAAACATATACTCTATAGAAGAGGAGTAATTCCCCATCAAGAGTCATTGGGTGGCTATATTTCATTAGCATAGGGAATTCCCAGAGTAGAAGTGTCCTCCACTGACAACACATCAAGAAATCCTCTGTAACTTATAGTCAGATAGGGCTGTCTGAGTGCCCTGAGATAGCTGTGGTGAAGGGTCACGTGGCTAGAATGTGTCAGAAGTGGCTCTTGAACTCAGGTCTTTTTGACTCCCAAGACTGGCCTTCTTCCTACCCTGCCACGGTCCCTTTCATTTCTTTTTTTTTTATTACACATTAATGCGTTATAAATTTTTAGAGATATGATATCAATATTGTTGACCGGGAAAACAGTTGATTGGTTGATTTGGTGTTGTCTTTCTCTCGATTCGAATTTAAAACTTGAACCGACTTTGTAATCAGTTACCAACTTGCAAAAGTTATTTGGTGTCTGATACACTGGGTGCACTGGATTTCCTGGTTTAATAATTATCTTTGAATTATTGCATTCATTATTAGGTTATCCGACAGTGGCTAGCTCCCAACCTGACAGTTATGTCTTGCTTTTTCCCCCCAGGAAGATGTTGACTATTACCTATATTTAGATTGAAAAAGCATGATGCCTGGCATTTAATGCTTATTAACATAACTATCAAAAAATAATACTTATTAACATTATGGATCTGAAGCATCAAAGCAGTCTTTGGCTGTACCAAAGAAGTCTACAAATAGAGGTTTAAGGGTAGATTTTGTTCCATTAATGGGGAGGGGGAGGGGCCAATCCAGAGGGCTTTTGCTCCATTAATGGGGAGGGGCTCACTAAGAGGCAGCAGGATACTTACAGTATAGCAATAACCTTTGAGTCTGGGGAGTTTTGAGAACTGAACTGCTGGACAGTGTTGGGACCCTTTCGCCTCCCTGCAGTGATGAAATAACAGGTCCCCCATGAAAAAAATAGCATTATCTCCAAGTGATTTTCCCAGGCTAATTTAGCCAGTTTGTGTCAATGGGAAGAACTGAACTCATGCCTTATTGGTTCAGTGGCCAGACTCCTATCCGCTGTCATGCTGCATTTCAATAATAGAAACCCATTTTAGGTGGATTTTGCAGATTGAATTTTTAAAAATTTTTAATCAATTTTTAGCGCTTTGATATTTTCAAAATTTAAAATATTCTTATTCTATTTATTCTCATTTGAACCTCACCACAACCATGCGAGGTGCTGTTCTCATCTCTGTTTTCCAAATAAAGACACAGCTTTAGAGAGGTTCAGGATGAATCTTATCTAGGATCACACAGATAGAAAACGTCTACAGTAAGCTTCAAACTCAGATCTTTCTGACCCTAATTCAAGACTCTCTCCATCATACCTCCTGCCTGCCTCTATGGTAGTTCCAGGTCCTGGGAAGCCCTCTGGACTTCAGTTTCCTCATTTGTCATTTAGCGTAATGCCTGGCACATCGTAGGTGCTTAATAAATGTTCATCGACTGATTGACTTTAAATGAAGAGGTTAGACTCGTTGGCTCGGAGGTCTCTTCCAGCTCTCGATCTGGGATTCTAGACTCCTAAGCCAAACACAAGTGTTAAGGAGGAACGTGAACCCTTTCAGGGAGAAGAAGGGAATGGTTGTTTATATAGCACCTATTATGTGCCAAGCATTGTACTCAGAGGTTGGTTTTTTTACAAATATTATCCGTTTGATCGTCCCAGCAACACTTTGAAGTCAATGGTATTATTATCTGCATTTTACAGTTGAGGAAACTGAGGCAGACACAGGTTTAGCAGCAAGGATCACCTAGCTAGGATGTGTCTGGGGTAAATTTGAAAGTCTTCTTGACTTTAGGCCCAGTGTTTTATCCACTACATTATTCATCTGCCTTTTTATTGGGGAGATTTCCCCATAACTTTATACAGTTACATTCAACACACACACAGCTAGCTCCTGCTGTGTTCAAGGCTCTGTCTCTGACAATTAAGACAGGATCCCTACATTCCAGGAACTACCCCAAACAAGTTAGCAGAGGGAGTGATGGGAGTTCATGTGGGCCCTGGGAGGAAGAATTAGCTTCCTATCATTGTCTCTTTCTTTGTAAACAGAAGCATTCTTATTAAAGATCCATTTTCGCATACCAGAGCAGTGCCCGGAAGGCCACTGGCAGGAATGAGATACTTACCATCCAATTTTAAATCGTATAAGAGAGGAGGAAATGATGAGGAAAAGGCATGTGTGAAATGTTAGGAAACAGCTATCTCCTCTAATTAAATCTGGACAGATGCAAGCCTGTTGGCACACAAGATGATTCATCTTGCTCACCAAGCTTGGGAGGGAGGAATATTGTGGCCCCTGGAGGGAGGAGATCTCATTATCTGGGTTTGGCAGCATCATGATCATGTCTTTGATGTGGGTGCCAGAACGTGGGTGCCCCGGGACCTCAGCATCACTTTTGGGAACCCTACGTCATTTCCAATGACAAGTGTGAAATATCCCTGACAACTTTAGGGTGGGACCCGGGGAGGTAAAACCTTAGCCACAGTGACACAGGAACCAGCCAGCCTTGAGCTTGGGGTACCTGACCACCAACGTGGCCTCTTCCTCTCAGTACTTTCTGATCTAGCCCTGGCTGTAAAATAACAACAGGAAAGAATCAAAACAGATTGGTCTGAGGGTTGAAAATAGAAATACAGAGTTTAATGGTGCTCTTCTCCTCCAAGCCTGTGGAAACGAGTGTGTGTGTGTGTGTGTGTGTGTGTGTGAGAGAGAGAGAGAGAGAGAGAGAGAGAGAGAGAGAGAGAGAGAGAGAGAGAGAGACTCCGTCAGACTCTATCATATCTGTTTGTATACAACTCACAAAGTGGATCACTCACAGGACCATGGGATCACAGACCTAGAGTCTGAGAGGCTGTCTAATGCAATCATTGCCCCTCATAAATGTAATCCCGCTTCCCCCTCCTAAAACACAAACCTCTTCAAGGTAGGGACAGGGCCATTTTTCATCGTGTCTTATGCCTAACAGATAGTTCTTGTTGTTACTGTCTTTCAGACCAGGTCTCCCTTCCTCCCTCAGCCTGATCTTGCCCTGATATGCATGGGAGCTTTAACTTGCTCCTTTTCTGAACCCCTCCTTAGGCAACCTGTTCTCCCCAAACCCCTCTCCCAGCTCACCATATCAGTCTCAAATTTAGTTGAAACACCTGATGAGCACAGCCTGCTACAGCTCAAAACTCCCGAGCTCAAGAGATCCTCTAGCCTCTCAGCCTCCCTAGTATCTGTGATTGCAGGTATGCACCACCATACCCTACCAAATGGCTTTTAAAAAACGGGATTGAATGCCAGAGGAGGGTTTGTGATCGTAATGGGAGGACTGGCCAATGAAGACCCAGTCTTTAAGGTGTTCACCTTGTGCTGTCTGATGCCAATCCCCGTGGAGGCATGGTGACCCCGTTTCTGGAAACATGAGATGGAAGGGCCCTTTCCCTCCCCCAACAAATGATTAAAAGATGAATGGATATTCATTGTAAGCTTCCCAAAGGGAAGGATTGGATCTAGATGGGTTCTGTATTTCCCAGGACACCTTGCAAAATGCTGGGTGTTTAGAAAGAGCTCAGAGACTTGGAATTGGATGATATTTCCCCCTCAAGAGTAATAGCCCCATGGAAGACTTGGACATCTTCTCAACCTCCTTTGAGATTGACAGATCCAGTGGGAAAAGAAGAATCCCATTCCACCAGGTTATTGTGGCTAGCAACTCCACTACCCCACGGCCTTTGCCTTCTGTGCTAGACTTTGTAACAATCTTTTTACCTAAGTGCATTTCCCGACTCTTTTCTCGGTGGGTTTGCCAACAGCTGTCATATGGTCACCAGAGTGATTAATGAGCCCAGCAGTAAAAAATGTTCATGTGATTGTTTGGCTTCACACAATGCACTCGATTTTGGGTTTTTGTTTGGTTTTTGTTTATTTGGGGTTTTTGTTCCTCAATCCTCTAGGGTATTCCCAAAGGATTCAGGATGGCTTCTCTCTAATGTTATCATCTTCGGCCCCATCCCCTCCCCAGTTATGTTTCCCTCCACTGTTAAGTGCCAGTGAGTAGCATCCTGGTTCCAGACTTTACAAAGGAATTTTTACTTTAAAGACAGAGCAATCACAAAAGTACATTTCTTCCCAATAGCTCAGGTGTATATACTCTCCCCTACCCCACCTTGATTTCCAGGGAGAATGGGCTCAGACTAAACTTGGTTTCTACATAAGATTGGCACCACCAGCTTCACAATCAGTTACTAAATGACTACCAAAGGTCTCTTGCCTCACATCACTGTCTGTCACTGGAAACCATCAGTGGAGTCAAATTACCAAAGTTTAGCCAAAGAGAAAAATAGCAAAGGTTTCATGCTAATCCTTTTGGAATGTCTTAGCAACCAAAGAGCCTCCTGTGCGTCATGTGGCTAGGCAACCAAAACCAATTACAGAGTATCTACACGTGCTCTGTGTCTCTCCAAGGCATTTCTAGCACACACCATCGCTTGTCTCCACATGGGGAGAAGGTGGCAGAGGTGCTCTGTGGAGCAGCCAGTCCCCGTTATACTGGACCAGTGGGTCTCGCCGTCTGCATTGCAGCTGAGCTTTCCTATATGTGTTGTCTCTCCCCTTGGAATCTGAGCTCCTTGAGAGCAAGGGCTTTACTGTTTGTATGTGTGACCAATCTCTGCTGCTCTTAAATTTTCTTCTTAAATTTCTAATTTGCTCTTGATGCTTGACCTTGGGCAAGTCAATTGGCTTTCCCGGGCCTCAGTTTCTTTCTTTATAAAGTGAGTGAGTTGGACTAAATGCCCCCTGAGGTCCCTTCCAGCTCCGGATCGGTGATCCCCTGATCCCCTGAGTGGCTCACTTGGTGAATTCTCACTAGCAAAATGTCCACCCCACCATGCCTGCCCCTCTAGCTTCCTGGTTCCCTCATCACTACCACCACTGACCCCACCTGTGAAGCAAATGTAATATTAGTTCACAGTAGGCAAAAGTCTGCTGGTACCTGAAGAAGGTGGATGGGGCAGAAAAGCATGTCATTCATGATAAGGTCAAATGGTAATTTTTGGAGATATCTCTTGATTTAGATAACTTCTGCCACAGTCCCATTAGTGCAAATTAATAGCTAGAATTCATACAGTGCTTTAGGTTGGCAAAGCTCTTTATAAATATGATCCCACTGGATACCTGCTTTGTAAGGTAGGCACTATTATCTCCATTTTACAGATGAGGAAACTGAGGCAAACAGGGTTAAATGACTGTGCCCATGGTTATATAACTAGTAAGTGTCTAAGGCGGACTCCAGGCCTGGAGCTCTATCTATTGTACCACCTAGATGTGCCTATAATATGTGTGTGTGTGTGTGTGTGTGTGTGTGTGTGTGTGTGTAATCAATATATATGCATATATATAATATATATAGCTATAGCTCTCTCTCTTTCTCTGTCTCTCTTTCTTTCTTTCTCTCTCTCTCTCATATCCTATGAGCTACCTCCACAATTCATCCCTTACAGGTTTGCAGGTTGAGCTCAAAAGGGGGTGATTACTACCTCAAGTTGGAAGTAATCAGACACAATTAACTCAAAGTAAAGGCATTTTACTTGAATGGGGTAGTGAAAAGAGTAGCTACACAACATTCCCCTCATAAACCTGGGACATCCTCTCCCAAAGATTCATCCAGTGTCAGCAGGAAGAGCCTCCCGGGTAGTGAGGTGAATGCGTGTCCATCATGTTGGGCCTCTGCCGGGTCCTGCAGGCTCCCTCTTGTCCCTGTTTTTCTCACTCTAGATGCTGGCAGGTCTGGGCAGCTCGATTATCGGCTCTCCCTGGACCTGCTTCTTGCTGAAGCTCGGCTCTTGATGGCCTGGGCAGGTCTTCTCTTGAATCCGAAGTCATCTCTAGTCTCTGCTACCAAAGGTCCCATTCCTCAAATTGGTTTCCCGCCCACAACTCTCTGACTCTGCTTCCCAATAGGTGGAGTGGCTTTTTCTGATTGGGGGTGGGCAGGAGAAGGCAGAGAGATCCCTCTGGCAGAGGCACAGGGATCACACTCCACAAGGTGTTTGGTGTCTTCAGCGTGCTTTGAATGAACCTCATCTGCCTCCAGGGCTAAAAGGCCAGCTGGGTAGTCAGCCTTTAGCCAGCCAATGGCCAGTTATCCTTCCAATTCCTTCAGAGAGACCTCTTCACAATTTCTAGAGATAACTAGGCATGGCTACCTCCTAGCAGTTGGCTTACCCATCAATATCTCATTAACTCTATTATCTATGCCTTACTTTCTCATAGTAGGTCAAGGTGAGGTAGGGGAAACAACTCCTCTCCCCCATTACACATACAATGACTTTTGCAATAGAAATGGCAGGTCCCTAAAAGGAAGTTAAATTGTTGAATAGTAGACAAGCCAAGAGAAAAAGGAAGTACGTAGTTATTAAGCACCTCCCTTGGTTCAGTCACTGTTCTGAACTCTTTTACTTCATTTGACCCTTATAGCAATCCTGAGAAGATAGGTGCCATTACTCTCCCCTGTTTTGCACTTTACCCATGATTACACAACCAGGTTGTGTCTGAAGTCAGATCTGAACTATGGTCTTCCTGACCCCCAGTGGAGCTGGAAATTCTCTATTCACTGAGCCACCTAGCTGAGGAGATAATGAAACATATTGATATTTATTTTACCTTTATTTTATTGATACTTGGAGAGGTAGAGGCTGCTACTGGCAGCGATGGCTATTTCCATTGTCAGGCACAGCCTCTGAATTGGATATTTTTCCTGAATTGATTTTGGTGGTCACAAGGCAGGATTTGGTTCAGAGTGGGATAGAAAGTATCTAAGTATCAATAAAAAAGTGTCAATAAAATGTGCGGGTATTTTTTAAGGTAAAATACGGGAATTATGTGAGATGACCTCTAAGTCCCTCGTAGCACTAAGTTGCTGATGCCGGGACCTCGGATCCCGTGAGCATTCTCCCTCCCTCGTGGACATCAGCTTCCTTCCCCTTGTGTCTCTGTGCGTCCCGCAGGGAGATCTTCACGAGCTGGGCAAGCTGCTGATGCAGGGCTCCTTCAGCGTCTGGACCGACCACAAGAAGGGCCACAACAAGGTCAAGGATTTGGCCAGGTTCAAACCCATGCAGCGGCACCTCTTCCTCTACGCCAAGCTCCTGCTCTTCTGCAAGAAGCGAGAGGACAGCGTGGACGGGCATGAGAAGTCTCCCTCGTACAGCTTTAAAAATTCTCTCAAGGTGACAGTTATAAGAACAGCCTCTTCCTCCAAAGGAGATGAGGCTGGGATAGAGGGAGGCGCATGCGCTGGTGGGAGGCGTGTTCGCTGAAATCACCCTGGCTAGCTAGAGGCTGGTACTTGTATCACCTCGTGTTAAAGCACTTCCTTTGATACTTACATCACCTTATTTCAAAAGCACTTATTTTTTTTAAAAAAATGATGTCTTTTGTTTTATATCACCGGCTTTTTTCGCCTTCCTTCTACTCTTTCTTAGAGTCATCTTTTATAATAAACACTAAAAAAAAAAAAAAGCAGTTCAGCAAAACTAACCCATTAACCAAGTCCTGAATACCATGTAGCGATTCCAAACCATAGTCCCCTACCTCTAGTGAACAAATGAATGAAAGCATTTATTAAGTACTTTTATGTGCCAAATTCTGTGTTAAGTGCCAGGGATATAAACGGGGAAAGTGAGTCTGAAAGAGATCACATTGTAATTGGAGGAAATAATACGTACAAGAGAGTTCATTTTGCAGGACAGATGGAAACGTGCAGCTGTCCAAATAGTATAGACGGGAAGGAAAAATTCACATAGTGTTTTTAGGTTTGCATTGTGCCTTATATACATTATTTAATTTGATCCTCAGTCAGTCCACAAGCATTTACTGAGGTTTTACTGTGAGTCAGTTGAAAGACAGTCCATGCGCTTAAGGGACTTACACTCTAATGGGGGGAAGAACATATATAAAAGAAGGCTGAAAAGCTGGTAGGGGGACGTGAAGATGTCCTGTGCGAGGAGCATGGAAGAAAAAAATGTCCAGAGTGCCGCTTGGGGAAGGAATGAGACATGGCTGGCTCGCTCTGGTGCCCTCCTTAAGAGGAAATTCTAGAAGAGCCATCCAATCAGAGGGAAAGCTCTCCAGGGTCCCTCCACTGGGTTAATCTCTGGGCTTCAGTGAGTTTCACAAAGACCCAGAAAAGGAGGTGCTGTTATTATTGCCATTTTAGAGACTGGACCAGTAATTGGATTCACATAAGGTACCAAGCAAAGGAACTCCCTCTAACCAGTGCAGATTTGCACCTTCTCTCCATTTTATAATCTTAGAGAGTTGTCTAAAGAACTGAGAAGTTAATTGATCTGCTCAGGGTCACTCAGCTAATAAATGTCAGAGATGGAATTTGAATCCAACTTTCTACAAGTCCAGCCCTCTACTTAATGGATATTACCTCTTTAGATTAAATTTATATCTATATCTATCTGTATGTATGTATGTATACATATATATCTATACACATACACACATATATACACATTATAATATCTATCTAATTTAGTCCCCGCAACAATCCCATGAGATAGAGGTTCCATAGTTATAATTATTAACCCCATTTTGCAGATGGGGAAACTGAGGCTTAGGGTCACAGAGCTAGTAAAAGTCAGAAGTGGGATTTAAATCCAGATCTTCTTGTCTCATTATTGTCATTCTCTTGGATGAAGTTAATGATGTTTCTGTGATTTGTTATTTGATCCACTCATTCTTTAGGATTAGATTATTTAGTTTCCAATTAATTTTTAGTCTATCTTTCCATGGCCCTTTATTACATATAATTTTTTATTGCATCATGATCTGAAAAGGATGCATTTAATATTTCTTCCTTTCTGCATTGGATTGTGAGGTTTTTATGCCCTGGTACATGGTCAATTTTTGTGTAGGTGCCATGTACCGCTGAGAAAAAGATGTATTCCTTTCTGTCCCCATTCAGTTTTCTCCAGAGGTCAACCATATTTAACTTTTCTAAAATTCTGTTGATCTCTTTAACTTCTTTCTTGTTTATTTTGTGGTTAGATTTATCTAGTTCAGAGAGGGGGAGGTTGAGGTCCCCCACTAGTATAGTTTTGCATCTATTTCTTCCTGTATCTCCCTAAACCCAGATCTTCTTGACCGTTAGTCTAACACTAATTTCTCTGTACCCACAGCCAAAGGGAGGGATTGGCAAGAAGGCAGGAAAGTGCCTCCAAAGGGACAAACAGGTGCCGACGCAGACCATGGAAGGGCAAGGAATCAGCCTGGTGGCAGATTCAGGCTGGGGGCTAGTGCTGGTGCTGGTGACAGGTCACGTGAGGCACCTCCATAGGGAAGGGGGGGGGTCAGAGTCTGTTCCTTTATACTTCCCTCCATAGCCCTGGCTTTGGAGTGAAGTTGCTGATTTATAGCATCTTGCTGGTTTTTTCCCAAAGTCCAGCAGAACTTGTGCTACTCACAAGCAGCTGACAAAGCCGGGCCTCACCCTGGGGAAGGTATGAGCCTGCAGCTGCCTCCTTGAAGAATTTGTTAGGGGGCAGCTAGATGGCGCAGTGGATAGAGTTCCGGGCTTGGAGTCAGGAGGACCTGAGTTTAAATCTGACCTTAGATACTTGACACTTACAAGCTGTGTGACCCTAGGCAAGCCACTTAACCCCATTGCCTACCCCCAAAAAAATTTTTTTAAAAAAAGAAAAGAATTTGTTAGGATTCATTTTCAGTTTCCAAAATTCTCTGCCTTTGCCCTATTGCCAGAGGAATGTACCTGAGCCTGGCATAAGGTCCTGTGGAAGAAGTGGGTTTGATGACAGGTTCTCTCATGCTTCCTGTGTGACCCTGGGCTAAGCCCCTTTCTCTCTGTCTCAGCCTCAATTTCCTTATCTGTAAAATGAAAGAGTTAGACTATATCATGGACTCATTGATTCAGAGCCAGAAGGGACCTCAGAAGACATTCAGTCCTTCTCCTATTTTACAGAGGAAGAAACTGAGGCCAGGTCCTATGAGGTGACTTGCCCAGGGTCCCCCAGCTAATAAATGTGTGGGATTTAAAGCCAGGTCTTCCGACTCTGTACCTGAACTCCATCCATTATACCATTGTACTTTTCAATGACCTCTAGTACTAGCACCTACCTCCCAGGACTATTGTGTGGATTCAATGAGATAATACATCTGGATTAGAATCTCCCTTTTGCAAGAAAGTGTCTTCCTCTTTCCTTCCACCGGCAGATGGGGTAACTGAGGATAAATAACTTGCCCAGAGTCACAAAGCTAGTAGTGTCTGAGGCTGGATTTGAACTCGGGTCTTCCTGACTCCAGACCCATCCTCTGTCTATTGTGCTACTTGGCTTCCAGGAAGGTGAGGCTGTCATCCTGGTCAGAGCAGTCTCCCCAGCTACAGGAGGTCCTAAGAAAGAACACATATCTTGGTGTGCTGAATTTGGTGGGCATCCCTGGCCAGGTTCCACCCCTCCCCCCCAACAGGTAGGGTCAGTTTCAGAACTTGACAACCTGCCCCTGCATGGGAAGAACTGGGTGCTTAGAAACCAAGGGAGTTCAGATTCCTGGGTCAGTGTATTTACCCAGAAATTCCTACATCAATTTTAAATGAACTCTTTACGTGCGTTGTTGGGTGCCGAAAAACTGTTTTTGTAGGTTCTTCAGTTTTTCTCAATAACTTCTCTTGTTTCCTATTATGATCATTCCACTTACTCTGAAGAAAGGGTCAAAGTCTATTTTTTAAATCCCTCTTATTTCCAAAGCCCACATTTGCATTGGGGCTTCACACAAGCAACTGAACCTTGCTCCCTGAACGTCCATTAGCCAAGAGCTAAGGAAGTCTTGTAGGTGGGAGATGACTCTGGAGATATCGATATGCCCAAGAAAAGGCAGGTGCTCATTCACTGAGAATGAGGAAAGACCAGGGTTCGAAATCTGCCTCTGACACTTGCAGGCTGTATGATCCTAGACAAAGTTTCTAAATCTGTCTGAGCCTCAGTTTCTTCATCTGTAAAACAGAGGAAATCAATCATATCAGCAGCAGTCACTTTGTATGGCTATTGTGAGGCTAATGGTGAGATCATGCATGTGAAGTCATCTTTATAGACTTTAAAGGCTACAAAAAAAAAAAAAGAATCTAGGCCTAAGGCCCTGGCCAGAGCTGTCTGAGGCTACAGGGGCATTGCTCAAGGAGAAGTAAGAAAGAGCTAATTCATTGAGGTTACTCCACCTTCCCCCAGGTAAAAGAGACAGTTGGGGAAGAATGAGGCCACCAGCAATTTACAAATGTTCATTAGCAGAAGTTCATTAGCAGGTGGAAGGAAAGAGGAAGGTGCTCTCTTGCAAAAGAGAGATTCTAATCCAGATGGACTCTCAGTGATTTGTCCATTTATAAGATAATTTTGCAAGTGTTCAACTGACAGTCTTTGCTACACAGACTCTTAGGACTCGAAGACATATACTATTTTTTTTCATTAAGAATATTATTCTATGTAATGTTATATGTTAGGTTGTATATACAATGTCATATATTATATTATATATAAAACATTGTGTATAATATTATTCTTAACCAAAAAAAATCTTTAACAGATCAGATTCCTAATACTAAATAGGAGGGAAATGGTGACAATAATTATTAAAACTAAAAATTAAAGGAAAGCACATAAGCAAGAGTTTTGGATTAATATAGGCCCAAGTATAGTAGTAAGGAAAACATTCGGTGTGCCTAAGGAAAAAATTGGTGTAAACCCAGATCAAAAGATATATTGGTACATGATGGGTCCAAACACTTAACAGAGGCTATGAGCTTCTCTTCAGATGCTGGAAGGTTAAAAAATAAATTGTGAGAAGTGGAATGCTTAGGAGGATGGTTAGGATGCATCTCACAAAGTGGGTAGAATGAAACTTTCAGAATACAAATCTTATTGGAAAGAAAAGAAAGGAACAAAATACTTTGACAGTGGTATTCTTTATTAGAAATAGCAATACTGATGTAAAATTCTTGCTGTGCATGTAATCTCTGTGAATGGAAATTTCATGGTAAATCAAATGTTCTAGAATCCATTATCCAGGAAAAAAATGGAAGCTGTCAGGGAAATTGAAGAGTTTGGCCAAATAACCACAGGTCCTTTCAATGCCCACTGGTACATTGATGGATGATCTCATTAGGATGACGTATGGAAGGGGGGCATGACCCTCCTAAAGAGGAATAAATGGAATGTTGATAAAGAAACAGACTGGATCCATCGGTTTTCCTCAGACACTAAATGGTACCATCACAGGGAAGCTTAAAAGTTGTCTGCAGTGACTTTGGGGTGCCCAGGAGTTGGGGATGACAGTGTAGTGTGGGTATTCCTAAGCAGGCATTCTCCCTTTGGAGAGGGCCTGTGACTGTTGCAATGCTTTCCAAAAGGTGGGTTATTACAGCTTAGTCAGGGCTTTTATAGACTAGATGAATATTGAGCATACTCTGAAGGGAAAAAACACGCAATATTAGGAAAACAGTGGTTTAGAATGTTCTAATGGTAGAGAAGCACATCATATTAAGAGGATGAAGGAAGGGAAAACGGATTAATTTAAAAAGAGAAGGAATAGGAAGTATCATTTCATTTTGACATCATCATACTAACATTGACCATTGTAATCAACCAGAATGTTTGGGTTTCTCCATGTTGACTTTATATACAGCTTTGTAGTCATATTCGGTTTTGCTTTATTCACTCTAGACAATTTTTTAAAAAGTCTCACAATAAACATGGCGATATCTTTTTTAAACTGGAAAAAAAGAGAAGGATTATGAAATGTAACTGATTACCAAAGGAATGTTTTGCAGGAAAAAATCCAAGCACTTCTTTTACTTGATAACTTGAAGCGATATGAAGTTATTTCTTCTCCTTTCATTCAGAAATTTCATTGTTGGAGAGCTCTAAAATGGATAATAGTCAGGAATTTGTTAAGCTAAAAAAATTAGTTGAATAGTGCTGGATTTGAGATAATAGTCTTATTTGAGAGTTGTTAATTATGAATAATAATAGTTTTTACAATTTTCATTTATCTCCCTTTGGATGAACATGGCCGTATAAATGTATAAAATCATTCCCTTATGGAATAGTTCTAATAATTCATTATGCCTCCAAATCTAGCATTTAAAAGCATTTACACATTAGTTAATGGATGAGATAAGTTAAACAACAAACATACGAGAGGAAATTAAAGGCCATTAAAATATGCAGTAGGAGAAACACATGTAAAGTGGAATGTGTATATAAATACAGACAGAAAGATTAAAGCAATAATTATAAGCTTAGTAACCAACAAATTCAGACACTTAAATACACGAATAGGAATTTTTTAGATGATTGTAAACAGCTATTATTTGTAGCTTATGTAGAAAAAAGACTATAACTTTAACCAGATAACAATCATACCATTTGTTTCTGCATCCCTTTCTAAATGTTTATTCTCGTGTACAGTTTTTCTGGATTTTGTGCCAGTTATTATTTGAATAATTATAGTCGGTGTATATACATTCTTTTTGATTCTTCTCCTATCACTGAATTACTCCATATATTTTCCTGTATTTCTTTGAGTTCTTCATCTGTCTCATTTATATGGCATAACAACAAATTGAGATCTGGGAAAGACCTTAATTTAGAAAGGCCAAGGTCAACCGCTGAATCCCGTCGTCATCGCCAGTCATCTTGACTTTTGTCTTGCCACTGGCCTTCGATGACTGGAGGAGAGAGGGAGGCTCAGCTCTGCCTCACTTAAGTCCAATTCACAGAGTCAGCTAGAGAGAGCTAGCCAGAGAGAAAGCCACCAAAAGAGACAGAGACAGACAGAGACAGACAGAGACAGAGAGTAAGAGACTGGAAAGCATGGGAAGGAAAGGCAACCAGGGCAGTTCCTCCTTGGAAAATAGAAAACAGTGATTCCAAGTACTTCTTTTCTCTTTCTGCACTAGATGGGCATGGTTGGCATCACAGAAAATGTGAAAGGAGACAACAAGAAGTTTGAGATTTGGTATAACGGTCGGGAAGAAGTGTACATCATTCAGGTAAGCCCCTGCTTTGCTGGGTGGATTCTCTTTTCCCACTGGAAAAGCTTGTCACTGTTGGGGGCTTTTTGTCTTTTTATCAGTCAGTCAGTCAAACCATCATTTATTAACATGGTGCCCAGCACATAGTAGGCATTTAATAAATGCTTGGGGACTGACTGACTATTCAAAAGGTCACTGAGGGGAGCCTATAACCCCTGAACACACAAAAGGGCTCTAAGCCCCCAAGAGCAATGTCTATCATAATTGATTCATTCCGATGCCCATCGAGTTCCTCTCTGTGATTCTCTCTATGTAGGCATCTTCAGTAGAACTGAAAAACCTCTGGGTTTCTGAGATCCGAAAAGTCTTGACGGGACAACTGGAAGCTTGCAGAGGTAGGGGATTCTTTCCTTCCTCCTGTCTTCCAGGAATCTCCATGACAGCACTTCCCCTTCACCTTCCACATATGGCAGGAGGAAGGGACTTTGGCGGCCATCTAGTTCAACCCATATGTGGGGAAAAAAACCCTTCACAATGTACCCAAGTAATGGGGTCATCCAGCTTTTGTTTGAAGGCTTCTGGTGAGGGGGAATCCATGACTTTTCAAGGTGGACCCATCTACTTTTCCCTCTGGGGCTCAGTCTGTGTCTGTGCCCATAGCATTCTATGCAGAATTCATACTCTTTGGAAACAGCCCCTCCTCAGATTCATGCAGCACTTTCCATCTCACTGAGCTCTTCCCTCCCAAGAACCCTGGGAGGCAGGTGCTGCTGGGGGCATTGGCCCCATTTTACAGGGCATAACAATGGCGTGGAGGTTCCTGCCAGGACTCAAACCCAGGCCTTCTTACTTCCCAGGCTCCTCCCTCAATACCAGGCTGAATCTTTGTGTTGTCAGTTTCTGGATGCATGGGTAAAAGTCGTGAAGACACAGCCCCAGTGGGTGGGTAGTGTTAATTCAGAGATGTGAAAGAGGAACATGTTTCTCTTCTGAGACCAGCACATTGCCTCAGAAGGATAAGTTTCACTTTATGAGAATAAGTGTGAAACTATACATAAAAGAGAAAGAGGCAAAAACCCAGAGACTGATTTGAAACCTGATAATTCATCATGGTATCTGCCTGGCGAGATGAAAACAAGGGCTTGGCCCCGTCTGCCAGGCATAGGTCCTGGGTGAAGGAAGGAAAAAATGAGACGATTGTTTCCAATTTGTGCCAAGTTAATGAGAGGCAGCTAGCAAATTACTCTCAGTTTGAATTCCCATCTTGCTTTGAATATGCCTCTGGGACATTTAAAGTTGTGCATGAGTGCCCTGTGGTCTTCCCCCCCTCTTCCCCACGGGGCAGAGAAATCACTGAGCTCCAGTGGAAAGTACCACTCAGGCTGTTGCATGGGATGCTCATGACAGCCCTCCATAGGAGAGACATTACTAGCCCCATTTTGCAGATGAAGAAACTAAAACTGAGAGTTCCAAGGACATGCCCAGAGGGTCACATGACTAGTCATTGTTAGAAAAGTGGGATTCACACTCAGATCTCTCTTGACTCCAAGCATCACAGAATTGCAGGTTTAGAAGGGACCTCAGAGGTGAGCTAAGCCAGCCCCTGCCTTGAGGCACAAATCCCCCCCCATGAGATCCCTGACAGTTGGTCCTATGAACTATGCTTGTAGATCTCCACTGCCAGAGACCTCACTGCAGTGAGGAGGTTGTGGCAACCCTGCTCTTTGTATCTGAGCCCACTGGTGAAGGTGGAAAATGCATGCGCTGTGAGGCCAGAGTCATGTGTTGAATGTGCAAGTTAACTCCTTTTGCACAGAGAAGAAAATTATGTTCCCTGGTCACAGAATCCGACTTTAAACTGTAGCATCAGAGCCCGTTGTGGAATCAGGAGACCTTATTTCTAGTCTCAGCTCCGACACTCACACCTTCTGTGACCTTCGGCACATCACTTCTCCAGGACTCTGATTCCTCTTCTAGAAGAAGAAGGGGTTGGGCTAGAGGTCCTCTGAAGCCTGTTGCATCTCTAGAGGTAGGATCCGAGGCTTCTCCCTTTGTCTTGTATGGATGGTGCTGATCAGGAGGTTTGGGGAGTAAGAGCCTGTGACGAGTGGCTCATTCCCACCCTGTTCCACCCCCACTAAATTAACTCCAAATGTGCGTCCTACTGAGAGTGGGTCTGAGCTGGGTAGCTGACAGGAGAATGTTGGTCTGTCCTTGACTGAGTCTGACTAAGGCATGAAGGGGCCTGACAAAATAAGCTGATTTGAGTAATTTGGCCTTAACCATTCCTAGCAGGTTCCTTTTTTTTTTTTGAAGTTTTATTGATGGTCTTTTTTTACTGTTACTTCCAAGTAAATTCCTCCCACCACCCTCCACTTTCCCTGCATTAGTACCATCTCTCATAGTAACAAAGTACATTTAGCAAAACAAATCAAATGCATTGGCCAATAATATATGCCTCATTCTGCACCTATAGTCCACCACCTGTCTTCTAGGTAGGTGTTCAGCACCAGTCTGTATAAGTCAGAAGTAGCCGTTGCCATCATCTTCATCTTCATCTTAGCATTTATCAACATTTTAAGATTTACAAAGCATTTTATAAATATTATCTCATTTTGTCCTCATAACAACCTTGAGAGGTTAGGTAATATTGTTATCCTCATTTTACAGATGAGGAAACTGAGGCAAACAGAGGTTAAGTGACTTGCCCAGGGTCACACAGCTAGTAAGATTTTGTCTCAGGCCAGATTTGAGCTCAGGTCTTCCTGATTCCATGTACAGCACTCAATCCATCGCACCGCCTAGTCACCTGCTGTTAGCTCTTTTTAATCACACTTAAATTATGTTCATCATGTCACACTGCTGACCCACCCTCATAGGAGGTAGGCTTTGGGCTGTTTCCAAGGTAGTTTTTTGCACCAAGCCATCCATCCGCTTGTAACCAGTGGTTTGTAGCGTCAGGCTGGCCAGGAGGTTTGGGAGTGTAGTATGTAGTTGTGGAATAAGGCAGTGAACCCATCCCCAGTTGGAGACCTCACTCTAGGGAGCCAACCCAAGGATTTGGCCTTGTTTGTATTTTGCTTGAACCAAATTCAGCACTCCTCCAACTCCCTCTGCTTCTCACTTGACCTTTACATACATTACCTACTGGGTAGGACGTTGCAAAACTAAGAGCCTTTCCCCAACTGAAGACCTCAGCTGAGTTTCCCCAGAAAAAGCCCATGAGGATGTGGGTTAAGAGATTGGAATGTAGTTCCAAAACTGAAATGGGAGATGCCAGACAGAGAAATCAATGCACCATATCCATGGGGGGAATCCGTCCAGGACATTTACTCTTATCCACTCATTCATTTATGCATTCGTTTATTCGTATAAATACAGCAATATCAAATATTACGGCACAGCCAAAAAATATGAGAGAGGAGCCAGCGGACAAGACGGGGACAAATGGTGAGCCCAGAATTCCATGAGAGCTCTTGGCGCTCACTTTCTCTGCTGCCCCCCTCTTTGACAGGTGAGGAAACTGAGCTGCAGAGGAGTGTAGTGACTTGCCCGTGCTCACACGGAGAGTTAGTGGCAGAGTCACAATTAAAACTCGGGTCTCTTTAATCACAGTCTGGGGCCCTGCTTCTTACACTTACACCCAAACATGAAACCATTAAAAACACACAAAGCAGGAGTTTGTGTTTAAAAATGAGGGCTGCGTAGGGTGAATGAGTTCAGAGGAAGTGGAGATCACTATGGGCTGGCAGAGCTCACTGGGGTTACCTGGGCTGGACCTGGAAAGACCACCGATGAGTAGAGGGTAAGGGAAGGGTATCCAGGCAAGGGGATTAGCCCAAACAGAGATTTTGGATCAGAAATGAGCACTGGGTATTTGGGAGGCAGTGGGATGTTGTGGGAGAGAAGGAGGGGGTGAAGGGGAGAAGGGGAGGGATGGAGAAGAGGAGGGGGAGGAAGGGAGGAGGATGTAGAGGAGGAAAAGGGGGATGGGAAAGAGGAAGAGGGGAAGGAAGCTGAGGGGAAGAGAGGGGAGAAAAAAGAGGAGGAAAAGGAAGATGGAGAGGAGGAGGATGGAAAAGGGAGGAAGAGGGGGACACAGAAGAGAAAGAGGAAAAGAAGGAAGACAGGGGGAGGAGGGGAGAGGAGGAAAAAGAGGGGGAGGAAGAGGAAGATGGACAGGAAAAGGAGGGGAGGAGAAGGATGAAAGGAGGGGGGGAGGAAGGATGGAGAGGAAGAGAGATGATGATCATGATCATGGTGGCAGTGGTAGAGTGTGGTAGAGTGAAAAGGCATCCTGGCTGTGGAATCAGAAGATTTTGGTTCAAATCCCACTAAGGCTCTTTCTAGCTTTGTTTCATTCCATTATCTGAATTCATCCCAAAGTTGTTATTCCATCACAAAAAGCAGTTATTTTCTCCACCTGTATGACAAACTGCAATCCATTAATCAGCATGTATTTTTTTAAAGTGCTTACTCTGTGCCAGAGTGCAAAAACTGTGCAAAGACAAAAGGAAACACAGTTCCTGTCCTCCAGCAGCTTACATTCTACAGGGAAGGGTAGAAGTTAGCATTGACAGATCACCAGTCATTGGCAAAGCCTTTCCCGTGTGCCAACAATTAAACAATTGCTGCTCTCAATAAATTGACATTTTAACAAAGGGGACGACGAGTACATAAATACAAAATCATTCAATATCTACTAAACAATATTAAGCCAGATGGTGACTTGTCCTCCAACCATTCCTATCTGAACTTTATTGAAAAGAGATGAGATGATGATGCCAATGCTGATGCTCGCTAACAACCACTCACATTCAAAGAGTTGTTTACAGGTAGTGTCTCACCTGACCCTCACGACAACTCTGCGAGGTAGGTGCGATGTTGACTCCCATTTTATAGAGGAGGAAACAGACAAAGAGAGGTTAGGAGAACAGCCCTCGGTCTCACACTCTTAGCGTGTGTCTTAGGCTGATTCGGGCCAGCGTAGGGAGGGCAGGGAACCTGGGCGGAGGAGCCTGGAGTTCATCCTGTAGTGGTGAGGGCCGAGAACTTGTCCGCACTCAACTGGCTGGGCTCTCCACCATCAGCAACCAGGCTGGCCCCTGGATGGTTGGTCCCAAGTGTTCTCCCTTGAGGCTGTGTGTATCCCCCCAATTCCACTCTATTGTGCCAGTCTCTGTTCTAGGCCTTGGGAACAGTAAGATGAGAAAACAAAGATATTCCTGCCTTCGGGGAGCTTTTAGTCTCCTTGATGTTTCTCCACTAAGTGTTCACTCTGAGCCCTCCCCCCTACTAAAGTGGAAAAAAAGGAAGTGAAATCAGTCTAAGGCCATGGGATAATGAAGTGCCTAAGGCCCGTGCGCTATGATAAGGACACATTCTTCAGGCAGGTTTTGTCTCTGTTCAAACCATTGCCATGCTGCGCTTTCTAATCTGCTCCCATGAGGGCTCAGCCTGCCCTGACTGACACTGCTGACCGACTTTCCTTCACTTTCCCACCACGATCCCTCCCTCTGGCCCACCAGCCTCCCCACCATCCCCCACAAATGCCCCGTGCCCATCTCTAGCTCAGAGCCTTTGGGTAGGCCATAGCCAAAGCCTACGCCCCTATCCTTGCCAGGTCTAGCCCAGGGACCCCTCCCCCTGGGGAGGCATCACCTGAAGTAGCATTGATACAGTTCACCAGTCGGTCAGCAAGCATTTATTAAGCACCTACTATGTGTCAGGCACTGTGTGAAGCACTGGGCGTAGAAAGAAAGACAAAAACATAGCCCCTGCCCTCAAGGAGCTCATATTCCAATGGGATACGCAATGATGCATGTGTAGCTGAGACTCTGGGTTCACATGCCCTGACCCCATTGGAACTAGCAGATTGGGTCCTCCAAAGAAGGCTACTGCTGCCCTCGAGGTGACCTTCGAGGGGCTGGGCCTGGTTGTCCAGTATTGCCCCCCCGACCCCACCCATGCGAGTTGACCAGTTAACATCTTCTTAGATATCCCAGCACTTAGCACCATGCCTGGCACATGGCAGGCTCTCAAAATGCTTATCGGATTGGATATCACTCAGTCAGTTACCATCAAGGAGGTTTTACAAAGGGACAGTTACCGAGAAGGTAGACCCAATACGCCAAACCAGGAGCGCTTCTTTACCACTTCGGTGGAGGGAGGGGGGGCCGCACCCGCCTGAAGAGTGTCCTCATTACAGCCGGGCCCAGGCCCAGGTGGGCCTTGGCCTCTCTCCCCTCGGCTACGCTTCACCTGCCCAGGTGTGAGGAGAGCCGGGCTTGAGCATGGGCGTATCCCACATCCACCACTGCTAGTGACCGTGTTGTCTGAGGCAGGGAAGAACCCAGATGCTTAGTAGCAGCGTGACCCTGGGTGAGTCCCTTCCTCTCTCTCTGAGCCTCAGTTTCTTCATTCACAAAATGGGGCTGATAATAACCCCACATGGCTTTGAGAGGATCGAATGAGGTCAGCTATAAAGTGCTTTACAAACCTCAAAGTGCTATAGAAATGCTACTGCTACAGCTACTCTTGCTGCTAATGTTTTTATTATTCTTTGCAACGTGAAGTCTTATCTGATTCCCCGCAGCTGCCTGTGCCCTTCCTCCCTCAACTTATTGTTCAGTCGTGTCTGACTCTTCCTGACCCCCTTTGGGGTTTTCTTGGCAGAGATACTGGAGTGGTCTGCCATTTCCTTCTCCACCTCATTTTACAGATGAGGAAACTGAGGCAGACAGGGTGAAGTGACTTGCCCAGGGTCACACAGCTAGGAAGTGTCTGAGGCTGGATTTGAACTCAGTCTTCTTGACTCCAGGCCTGGGTGCTCTATCCACTGTCCCATCTAGCTACCCCAGTAGCTAGTTCCCTCTACTTACCTTGTATTTATTTTGTAGTCATCCAGGGTGAGAGACTTTGAAGCCAGGAAGACTGGATTCAAGGCTTGCCTGTGACACATACTGGCTGCCTGATCCTGGGCAAGACACGACTTCAAGGCAACTCTCTAAGACTGTAGAAAGTGGCAGAGAAGGTGCCAACCTGTATTGGTAGAGAGAGCTTCCTATAACAGTGAATCACAGGCTGGTCCCCATATCTTGGCCCACAGGCAGACTATGTGGCTCCATGGATATAACATCAGGTCTGGAGAGAGGAAGACCCGAGTTCAAATCCAGCCTCAGACACTGAGCTGTGTGACTGTGGGAAAGTCACTTAATTGCTCTCTGTCTCGGTTTCCTCATCTGTAAAATGGGGATAACGGCACCTACCTCCCTGGGTTGCTGTAAGAATTAAACCACACAATATTTGTAAAGCACTAATCACAGGGCCTAGCACATAGGAGATGCTATAAAAGTGTTAGTTGCTTGGATTATGATTGTTTGTTGAGAGTTCAGAATGGCCCAGTGGTTTGAAGCTTACCTGCGAACCTTATTAGCCACACGATCCGTGGCAAATTGCTTGAGCTCTGAGCCTCGGTTTACTTGTCTGTAATACAGGATCGTGTCTGGAAAGTGTTTTGCAGACCTCAGAGCCATGTGTAGATACTAGCCATTATTCTCCCTGGAGTCCTGCTATCAAAGGCAGTTATGACTCATACCTCCCCCTGACCCCCAACATCAGTTCTGCCATCAAAGGGATTCTTCCACAGGTTCAGGCTGCGCCAGATGGGCTTCTGAGGCCTCTTGTGACTCAGAGTGAATCTGAGAACATGAATCTGTTCAACCAAGGAAGGTTGACTACGAGAGAGAGGAAGCCCTTTCCTTCCTTTCCAGGCCCATGGGATGTAGCCCACCAGCCTGGTGCACCCCATGAATGATGCAGAGCCCTGGGAAAGGGGCAGCTTGGGTGCCTTTTAACTTCAGGTGTGCTAATGCCTTCATATCCAGGCTGGGGAGGCCACTCACACATTCCTTAGAGGGGGACTCCAGAGGAGTCCAGAAAAGCATGGCAAATAGATCTATAGGTGGCTTTCTGGCCTGCAAAATGCCCGTAAGCTGGGGGCGGGGGGGATGGATGGATGGACGGATGGATGGATGGATGGATGGATGGATGGATAGATGGATCAATGGATGGATGTAAAAGTAGTTATTAAAGGTACCCAGGGATGAAGTTCAGAGAGTACAGCCAATGGGGAATTATGAGATGGCTGCCCTGGGAACCTTCCTTTAACAGGGAGATCTGGGAGGAGCTCTCCACTGTCCCCCCTCCACCCTCCAGAAGGCATGATGAAATAATGCACAGATTCCTTTCATACCTGATTGTTCCTAGACACAAGTGAATCAATAAAATTAGGTAGTAAACTTCTGGATGATTAAGGGTTTTTTTGGTTTTTTTACCTTTTTCTTTGAACAGAAGCAAGTCAGCTACACCAAAGAATCACAGAAAGCGTCTACCATGCGCCTATGGACACATCCAGCTCCTCCAGGTAACTGTTCCCCACCCTGGGGCTCCTCACACATAGTGTGCTCCTTCGCCGTAGTAGTTATTCTGTATTTGCATGGGAATCTCCATACAGAGAAGCATCATGTCAGGCAGCCATCAGTAAGGAAGCATTTATTGAGTGCCAGGCACTGTGCTAGGCACACTGGGAATAAAAACCAGTCGGGGGAAAAATACACAAAAACCCCAATCAACCAATTAATTAACCCTTACCATCAAGAAATTGATATACTAATGGATATAATGGGTACGTAAGAATATTAATATAAAGAATTAATAATATAAAAGAAATACAAATAAAAATAATAAAGTAAATAAATCCAAAGTAATTTGGAGGGAGAACGCTAGCAGCTGAGGGTGGGGGACAGGAGGTTAGGAAAGACTTTCTATAGAACAGAGTTGTCAAACTCACCAACTCAGTGCAAAACTCCCCAGTGTGGCCCAAACCAGATTAAAATGTAATTGGAAAATGTTTAACGAAATAAATAAAAATACAACGTAACATTGATAATGCTAATTTGTGATTTTCTAAGTTGAGTGCAGTGAGGTGGTGCAGTGGATAGAGTACCAGGCCTAGATTCAGGAAGACTCATCTTCCTGACTTCAAATCTGGCTTCAAACACTCTAGCTGGGTGACCGTGGCCAAGTTATTTAACCCTGTTTGCCTCAGTTTCTTCATCTGTAAAATGAGCTGGAGAAGGAAATGGCAAACCACTCCAGTATCTCTGCCAAGGAAATCCCACATAGGGTCACAGAGTCAGACACAAGTGAGTGACAACAAGAAGTCCTTGGGAGGCGCGCAGGGATCTGCTTGATGCCGCTGATGCGGAAGGCGGTGTGTGAGAGGCACCGTAAGGGATTCCCTGAGGCAGGGGTGGGGAAGAGATGCCCACTATCTGCCGTGGTCAGTCTACGTGCAGGTTGGTGCCCAGAGTTCTGGGTGCCACGTTGTAGGAAGGGAAGGGACAAGGTGGAAGAAAACAAGGATGCTGATTAGACCAGAATCATTGCTGTCAGAGAAAATGGAAGTGGGCGGGTGTGAGATCTATTTAATAAACCCACATCCTCTGTCATTTCTCAGGGCACCTTCCACACCTACACAGATTTATGGCCAGCCTTCTTGAGGCCTTCTTGACACTAGGTAGTAAGGCACGTAGAAAAACTGTGCCCCATTCACTAATAATAATAATTTACGTAGAACTCTAAGGTTTGCGAAGGGCTTAACATATAGCACCTCTCTTGATCCTGCGAGGTAGGTCTCATCACCTCTGGCAGATGAGGAAACTGAGGCAGATAGAGGTTAAATGACTTTCCTAGGGTCATAATGTCAAAGGCCAGATGTGCCCTCGAGTCTTCTGACTCCAAGCTCAGTGCTATCTACTGCATCACCCAGCTGCCGAGGCTCAAGGGAGACTCAAGACGCTTGAATGATCATGTTGCGTTTAAGGGGTAGAGAGGAAGTACTTATCTGAGTAATGAGGTATATAAGTGAAGACCTTCCAAGTGCAGGGACTTCTGGGGGAAATTCCGGGGTGGGTACAAACATGCAAATCTATCCCAAACAAAGACCCTGTAAAGTGAAAATAGAATTCTTAATAAGAGGATGGCCTAGATGACAAGCAGGGGCTGGTGGCCACCCAGCAAGGGCAGAAGAGTCACCGAGTGCTCTTTGGCCCCCCAGGAATAGAGAAGAAATGGGGCAAAGAGAGCTCCACTCCCCCAGCCTCCCACAGGGAAAAGAGCAGAAAGCCCAACCCTGTCCTGGTCCTTCTTCCTGAGAGCCCCGCAGGCTGAGAGGGGGGAAGCTCTATCCCTTCTACAATCCAAGCTTTGTCAGCTCCCAGAATCAGTGGGACCCCACTGTCCTCTCTGGAGACAGGCTCTTCTCTGTCCAAGGTCCCTCAGCCAGTCAAGAGTCACCCTTCCCAACATATACAAGCATCTCAAGGCTGCCATCATGGAGACTGCCAAACCCACCTGGCCAGGATGCTGTGAGTTGCTAGCTTGAGATATGGCCTGAGTTGCCTGAGTGGGCAGATCCCGATGAACTCCCCCATGGATAGGGTGATATCAGCCAGCCTGCTGCCCAGCCCACAGTGCCAAAGCAGGAAAATTCCTAACAGTGCAAGCAGGGATAAATGGAGGACGTAAAGATATGAGAGTATTAGCCTGAGGAAGGGGAGACTTGGGGTGAAGAGGAGAGGGAAGACATGATAACTGGGGTCGAGAATGTGAAGGATTGTCGTATGGAGCAGGGATTCGATCGTTCTTACTGGCCCCAGAGGGCAGAGCCAGGGACAAAAAGTCACAGAGAGACAGATTTAGGTTTTTCTTGTTGTTGTTGAGCTGTTTCAGCGATGTCCGACTCTCTGTGACCCCTTCTGGGGTTTTCTTGGCAGAGATACTGGAGTGGTTTGTCATTTCCTTCTCCAGCTCATTTGACAGATGAGGAAACTGAGGCAAACAGGGTTAAGTGACTTGCCCAGGGTCACACAGCTAGTGTCTGCAGTCAGTTTGGAACTCAAGTCTGTTCTATGCACTGCACCTCCTAGCTTCAGATGGTCTGTAGTAGAACAGGCTCCCTAGGAAGACAGTGGTTTCCTCTTTCACTGGAAGATTTCAAGTTAGACCTCTAGTCCAGAATATAGTCAAGGGGACTTGGGGTTAGGGAAGCTGGCCTCTTCCAACTCAGAGATTCTGTCAAGTTGCATGACTCCTTCCCTTTTCTCATCTGTAAAATGGGCATAGCCAAATTTGCATGACCATGAAACCAGTGGGAGATTGGACTTTGTGAAGGAGAATGAAAAAGCAAGAAACCACAGGCGAAGGAATCATGACAAGTTGACTGCTCACCGCAGACTCCTGTCTAGGGCTGGGCTCTGGGCAAGACTGCTTTATTGGAAACTTAATCATCAACCCTTTCTATCAGCTTTCAACACATTCCAGTGCTGTAAAACCAGGAAATTGCTAGGGAAACTGTGAGAACTGGCAGAGCCAGACAAGGAAAGAGATGCTTCTCATTTCAGCTGAGCTCAGCTCCTAGTATTGGGATCAAAGTTGAGCTGTATCCAGCCCAACCCAAACCCCATCTCCATTTTGCAGATGAGGAGAGGGAGGCCCCATGAATTTAAGTGGTTTACCCAAGGGCACCCAGATAGAAAGTGGCAGAGGTTGAATTTTACCTGGAGGGGTAAGAGAGGAAAGGTCACATTTTCTGTGTCTTGGAAATAAGCAGCCTTTAGGTTTAGGGCTGTCTTAACCAAAAAAAAAATATATGCCCCCTTCTACTTTTTAAGGCAAGGGAGGTGAAAAGCTTTGCTTGCTCATGTGAGCAAGGTCTGGAGTTGAGTCTTATGGACTTTAAAAGATGTGTCTTAGTTTAGACCTCTGTGCCCAGGTAAGGTGATCCCACACCCCAAAAAATAATCCAGCAATGACCAGCAATGAAGTGTGCCACCCATCACCTGGCCAAGATGGGGTGGGTTCATGGTGTAGAACTCTTTTTCTGAAACAGCCAATGTAGGAATTTGGGGGTTTTGTGACTATGTGTATTTGTTATAAGAGTTCTTCCCCCCACTGGGGGTAAGAGAGAGAAGAGGGCTAGGGTTAGGAAGGAAGGAAAGAAAGAAAGAAGCAAAGAAGGAAGGGAGGAAGGAATATGGCTAATATGGAAATATGTTTTCATGACCTCACATGTATAATCAATATCATATTGCTTGCCTTCTCAAGGGGTGGGGTAAGGGTGAGAGGGAGAAAGAGAATTTGGAACTTAAAATTTTTAAAAATGAATGTTAAAATTTTTTTACAGGTAATTGGTAAATATTTAACAAAATAAATAAATATAGGTTTTAAAAAGAAGGGAAGAGGGGGAGAAAGAAAAGAAAAGAAGGAAGGAAGGAAAGAAAGAAAGAGGAAACAAGGAAGGGAAATAAAAAAGAGACATTGACACTTTTTTTAAGTGTACAGTTGATAACAGAAAGAAGATCAAAAGGAAACACAATGTGAGCAGCTTTGAAAATTGTGTTGAATTTCCTATATACTTAAAAAGAAAAGTAATCTCTACATAATAGAAACTTGTTTTGTGTACAATCCTATTTTTCCATCTTACTGTGTATATAGAAATGCTCATTTTGTTTTCTTAATGTCATTAAGAAAGTAATTTTTTTTTAGTAATTTTAAAAAAAAAAGTTTAAAGTCCAGTATAATAGCAAGAATGCTGAAATGGTAGTCTGGGTGACCTGGGTTCTGCTAATTAGCCATGTGACCTTGGGCAAGTCAGGCTCCCTAACTCTGGAATGAGGGATGTGAAGTGTTCATGACTGAGAGGTCTCAAGTCTGGAGGCCTCTATGTCCACATGGTGGCCAGTGTAAAGCAATGCAGATAAGCAATGAAGTGCTTCAGGCAGGCAGTGTAGCCAAACGATTGAGTTCATGGAGGAAGGAAAAGAAGGACAGAAGGACAGAAGGGGGCCAGGTTGTGAGGAGCTTTAAATGCCCAAAACTCACTGAGGAAGGAAGGAGAATGTCCTGGAGATCCATAGACAGTGGTCCCAGGATCTGGATTGAGTGATCAATCTGGGCATTGTGGACCTAGAAGCAAGAGATGCTGCTGAGTGATGGCACTAGAGAGAGAGAGTTTGGACTGTTCTGACTTCTCTGTGGTGGCCGGTGAGTCAGGGGGGAGTGTAGCCAGTCTTAGAAGGGCTGGGGAGAGAAGCAGAGTCCTCAGGAAGGGGCAGGGTCTCACGGCCTGAAGATGGAAGGTAAAAGAGGCTCAAGATCAGAGGTGTCAAACTCTCAGCTGCCTGCAACTGATTTAAGAGGAAAGGAAGTTTGTTCATTATAAAGCCGGTATTCCAGAGGGCACAGATGAAGGGGTGGGCAGATCTGGAGTAGGACATTTCAGGGCAGGGGAGGATGTTGTAGTTGTGTTGATCCTTGTTCAGATTCAGCTTGATGACCCCAGGCTTCCTTCCAATTCTGAGG